AGGGAACGAACCCGTGTGAAGCGAAGGTGAATAGCTGGTAAGTTTATATTTTCATGTAATTGCTGAACAGTTTTTAATGAAAATTGGCTACCAAAATAAAGACATTCACACAGTAGTATAATTAAAGAAATACAATCAAATTCGTAGGTTTAGAACCTATAGGTCACTAAGTTTTTTTTTAATTTATAGAAAATATTTAGGGGCTACACCAAAAATATATAAAAAAAACGTAATCTAAACTATCAAAAGAGGTCATTCATATACATTTCTTACGAGAAAACTTACATGTGAGATAGGGATGGGGATATTACGGCTAGAACAAGAACTTACATTAGAAGTGGTAGAAGCGAATAGCCAACAGCTGTTATTTTACTCGAAACAATTTGTTACTCAGTATAGTGCGAATTTCAAAGTTAAAATTAATTTTCTTTTTATAAGGTCTCACGTCTTTGTACATAATGATGAAAATAAATTAAATTCAGTGTTACAATAAAACATTTGCTTATGCATCATTGGTACAATTAAGTTGTGTTTAAAATGATTGCGGGACGTTCCGAACGTCATTTTATCTATACAAATAAAATTGAAATGTCTGTTAGTAATGTTGAAATAAAAGGTTTTTATAAAATGCATATAAAATTATATACGGTACTTATAAGAAAAACACATTTTTTTTCTGTCTGTCTGTTTCTTCCGGCTAATCTCCAAAACAGCTGGACTGATTTTGTCGGGACTTTCACTGGCTAGGGTTTAATCTCTGGATGTACTGAACCGATTTAGATGAAATTTGGTAAAAAGATATTTTGAAACCCTGGGAAGGACATAGGATACTTTTTATCCCGGAAATCAACCCTTAAGGGGGTGAAAATGGGGATGAAAGTTTGTATGGGGAACCAACCTAGGGACAAACCCGAGCGAAGTGAGGGTGAGTCGCTAGTTTGTTATAAAAATAGTCACTAGCAAAACTAATCATCAATAATAAATAGATAGCGTGAAAAACATAGTGATTGATGCCTGAAATAATATTTTCTCGCACTCAGGCTAAGTTCGGCTTCACTTTATTCTATAAAACACTAGCAAAAACAAAAACAAATCAATCCCTCGGGAACCGCATTTTTTCCGGGATAAAAAATAGCCTATATGTTATTCCAGACTATAATCTATCCCTGTGCCAAATTTTATCCAGATCCGTTCAGCCATTCTGGCGTGAAAGAGTAACAAACATCCATACACACTCACAAACATTCACATTTATAATATTTTAACAGACTAAGTCATAAAGAAATAACTATAGATGTATAAAAAAGTTACTCCTCCATGGACTTTCTATTACTATTTAATCTATGGGTTAAGATAAAAGGCACAAGAGAGAGCAATTTTAGGAGCAGCTGGATTCTGAGATGTTTATTTTCAATAAAATAATGGAAGCCGCAGGCGGTATTTAAATTAAACAACCTTTGGAACTCCCATGTAAAAGACGCCTTCATCGATTGTACGTTTTAGACTGTATTTTAAACCATATCTTGGGAATAATTTATTCAGACCATCGCTTTACTTTTACTAGAATTTAAAAACCTAAATTGTATCTACCTAATATGAATTCTGTTTTTATCTTTAAAAATTAAATATATACCTACTCGTTCTTATTTCTTAAAACAGAACATAATGTACTAAATGAAACTATCAAAATATAACTAGGTAGGTTAAAACGTTTCAACGGCTAGTATAGATTTTTAGAGATGAGATATTTTTTCCGCAGTAAAAAGTATACTATACTAGAAAAGGAAAACAAAAACAAACCTATCCCACGGGAACGTAAATTTTTCCGGGATAGAAAGTGTGTTTTTTTTACCTTGTGTTTTTTCTGTCTCTGTGCTACATTTCATCCAGATCCGTTTAGCTGTTCTGGCGCGAAAGAGTAACAAACATCCATACTCACAAACTTTCACATTTATAATATTAATATATGTAGATGTTAAGTAGCTATCATCATACCTTTCATCAAATTCTATCCAATGGGTTTCTTTTGATGTGTTCACAAACAAACAGACAGACAGACAAAAATCCTAAAAATTATTTCAATAACATTTTCCGAAAAATATTTAAGATTCAACCATTTAGAATTTTATTATATGTATAGATAATTACCGATTATGAAGCGCACGAAAATAAACAAAACAGACTAAAATCCGAGAAAAAAAACCTTTTTTTTTAACATCTCCAGGTAAATTTCTAAGAAATTAATGAAAATTCTAAGAAATCTATTGTTGACTAACACGCCGGCGTGTCCGCGGTCGTGGAGGGAATAATGACCTATTAGATCACACGAACTTCCTAATATTCCCTCCACGACCACGGACACGCCGGCGTTACAGTTAACAATAGATTTCTTAAAATTTTCATTAATTTCTTAAAAATTTACCAGTGTGGTGATATCATTCAAATATCTTAAATATGTTCAACAAACATTAAATTGTACCAACTGTTTGATGTTTACTAAATATATTTCAGACATTTAAATAATATTTATAATTTTCGTTAATGTGGACGTTAAAATACTTTCCCGTTTACTTTTTTTAAAATAAAGTAGAAATAATCAGTTGTTTTCGCTGGCGGCTATTACATGGGTTTTTGAGCAATGGGACATTTATTTCAGTGATATTTTCTTTTCATTTTTCTGTACTAATTTTGCCCTTTCGCCAAGGGATTTCTTTATAATTGTACAAGCGTATCACCCTCGCTTCGCTCGGGTTCGTCCCTAGGGTTGTAGTACCTTGATTCCTCATACAAACTTTCATTATTTTCACCCCTTTTGGGATGATTTCCGGGATAAAAAGTACCTTATGTCCTTCCCAGGGTCTCAAACTATTTTCTTACTAAATTTCATCTAAATCGGTTCAGTACATCCAGAGATTACCCCCTACAACGTCACAAACTCAGAAACTTTACCTCTTTATAATATTAGTATAGATAATATACCGACCTACATATAAGATACTATTGATCCCTATGTTGGTATCATATAATAACATTACTACAGTTTATTAAATATTTGTAAGAGGAATAATTTCGTAATAAGTACATTGTTTCCATAATTATAACTCTATTGGTTTACGCGGCGCACGCCAAAAAGCTCACAGTCGCCATGTTTTTTTCCGACATCTTCTACAATCATCGTTATATTTCAGCCAATTTACACAAAACTATAATGAATTATACACCTAAACCTTCCTCATGGATCACTCCATCTATTAGTGAAAACCGTACGAAAATACGTTCAGTAGTTTTTGAGTTTATCGCGTTCAAACAGAGACAGACAGACAGACAGACGGACAGACGGACGCGGCGGCGGACTTTATTTTATAATATGATTGATGATTCCACAGTGACCACATATAAAAATAATGATCACATTGATATATTATTTCGTTGCTGTACGAAATAAAAACAAACGAACTCTTTCAACGACAAATATTTACAAAAATAGATTAGATCTACTATTCTATTACTGTAAAACAAAATAGACTGATACGAAAATAAAAAAATATATAGGTACGTTTTAATTAAAAATAACAAATGTATGAATACGCAGTGAAGTGATGCGAATTTTATAAATTGGACTCGCTAAAAATGTTGTTTGAAATTCAAATATAATACGCAAATGTCTGTTAGAATATTTTATAGGAATTGTATGGCATGTAGGATATTTTGTTATTTAAAGTATTAAAAAAAGATAACTCACGTAATTTTTTGTTACTTTATAATTAACAAGCGGTCCACACTCGCTTCGCTCGAGTTCGAAAGAAAAACAAAAACAAAAACAAATCTATCCCACGGGATCCCTAGATTTTTCCGGCATAAAAATTAGCCTATGTGCTATGTATTCCAGACTTTAATCTATCTCTGTGCCAAATTTCATCCAGATCCGATCAGCCGTTCTGGCGTAATTGAATAACAAACATCCAAACAACCATCTAAACTTTCACCTTTATAATACGAGTATAATAATAGGATTAGAGGATTTCAGTGAGAATATTTTAATGTGGCACATTTTACTTCGTTCTTGCTTGTCGCCATTTTTAAAGTAAAGGTGGTTGATTGATTATTATTATGCGTGATAAAGTTTGTATTAATTTATCTAGTTTTCCGTTTGCAAAAATTATGATATGAAATCCTCTCTATAATATACAATATAATTAAGTAATTAAAAACAATGGCCATAGATAGGCCCATGTCAAAATTAAACCTTCGGTCTCATATTATAGAATTTTTTTAATTAAAAAAAACAAAAATATTTAGATAATTATGCATGTGGTAATTTTAATGAGACCTGGAAAGTGCTAAAAAATAGTTCCGAGTTACTTATAAAAATAAGACCAAATTAAAAAGATGTTTTACTAAATCAATTGTGTTTTTATAAGCGATTACGTTTTCACTTTAAAAAATTGTGCCTCCACCCTCGTTCTATGAGATCAAAGTAGTATCTACTAATGAGATTTTAAGTGACATAAAACCAAGAAAAATAATGAAACAATTAAATAAGGCTTTATTTTTATTTTTTTAAATAATATTTTTGTGATTGTGACTTTTTTAAAACAAACGTCGTGAACGCAAAAATTAACGCTAGGTGCGAAATCACCTGTCATGGCGCACTTGTTTGACATACGTTGATATTCGAATTTCGAACCATACCTAATTATAGTTTAGATAATTTAAAATATAACGAATAAGTTTTAATTGGATTTCATTGAAATGATCGCTTTAATCGACATGTAAATATATTTTTAACATTTTAGTTAATAAATTCAGTTTACTTCAGTTATATAACAAAATATTTCCAAACAGAAAAAAGAACTGGCCGCTAGAAAAACAAAACAAAACTTAAAAAAAAAAGAAAGCGTTTCCCGCGATTTGCGAGCAATTCACAAATCTGTGCCTATTCGTCTGTGACGGTTACGTAAAATTAAAGAGAAATTTAGTTATTCTTTAGTGTTTATAAGATGATGGTGTATTCCAGTGGTGCACTGGGCGGGCTGGAGGTGGTGGACGGCGGATTGGTGGGCGGCGAACTGGCGGCGCATGTGTTAAGCGCCCAAGCTGCCGCCCACGCCGCTGCGACTGCTCATCAACAGCAACAACAAATTGCTGTTCAGCAAATAAGTAAGTTATTCAACTCATTCATTACTATTATCATATTGAAAATAAATACAAATTAAGATTTTGTATGATAATTCTGTTTAGAACAAGGAATGCTAATTTAATTCAACAATGGGACTTAGTTATCCTTTTTCATTGTTTATTTTAATAGGGCCATAACTGCAAGAGTAAAGTTTTAAATAACATCTTTTTATAATCTTAGTTTATACAGGTGTCAGGATAATATAAACAGGTTTTTGGTTAACAAAAAGACTTATCAAATAACAATAACATCAGTATTACACTTTGTCCATTCAAATAAACTAGCTTGCAAAGTTTTGAATGATACTCCTGAAAATTTACTCTAACGTTTGTTTGGATAGTAAGCTAACTTAAGCTATTCTATTTTATATAATATTATAGAAACATACCTTATCAAGTAGGAAACTTATATACACATAATATGATTGTTATAAGATTTAAAATATGAATTACTTAAATAATAGATTACTTACTTATCTCAAAAGAAAGTATAAAGACATATTGTCATATTTCTGTTTTTAAGCTGTTCTTAATGGTTGTAGCAATCAGCAAACCCAAGAGAAGCAAGGGTAAATCACTAGTATCTTAGTAAAAATAATTGTTGTAGGTATAGGTTATTATTAAGTTAAAAAAATTAAACATGATTCTCATTTTCTGTTATCACAATTTTAGTGCTATTTAGTTGGAATATAGAAACTTTTATAAAAATATTTAAACCTCGTTTGTTTGTTTTAAATTTAACCACATAAACAAAGTATGTGGTTAAATTTAAAATATCATTATTTTATGATTTTATAAGTGACATTAAATGAGATAATAAGAGAAATTAAAATCTTTACTAATATTATAAAGATGCAGAGTTTATTTGTTTGTTTGAACTCGCTAATTTCAGGAAGTACAAGTCCGATTTCGAAAATTCTTGCATTACATAGAATAGATTTGTTTTTGTCTAGGGACAAACCCGAAGCGAAGCAACAGTGATCTCTAGTAATATAATAAAATCAAGTTAGTAGTTTAAATATAGGTACAGATTTTATTATAACATATTATTATTTAAATAATATATTACCAGTCTTTATTGTTATTTATGTAAACTTGTATGTATAATATGTAACATGAGTAGTGTGTTATAGACCTTGTATTTTTTTTTGTGGCACCAACCATTACAAATCAAATCCATCCATACAAAGTTAGGAGGTTCTTTCTGATATAGGTCACTTGGAAGAGATTACATTCAAGTGATAAGGCCACCTGTACACTGAAATATATACATATTTGTATATACTAAACCATATTCTTTTTAAATAGTTGTTTGTTTTAGTGTAATAAAGTATAATAAAAGATTAAATAATTAATAAAAATAATACCATAAATTAATTAATGATAACAGCAAGGCTGTAGCAAATAAATAAATATTAATAAGACATTTTAATCCTATATATATAGAAGTCATTATTCAACACTACTTTACCGATTTAGACGAAATTTGGTAAGAAGATATTTTGAGACCTTGGACATCGGGTATTTTTTATCCCGAAATTCATCCCTTAAAAGGGTTAAAATTTCATTTAAATCAGTCTAATAGTTTCGGAGCTTAGTCTGTACAACCAAACTGTGCAAACAAACAAAAAAGTCTTTCCTCTTTATAATATTAGTGTAGATATAAAAATATACACTATATTAATAATATTTTATTAATCCTACCAGAAACGTCTCCCTCATCGGGTCGATCTACCCCCGTGGCGACCACAGCGGGCACAACCTCTCCGTCGCCAAGCAAACTGTTTGTAGGGGGCCTCAGCTGGCAAACCAGTTCTGAGAAACTAAGGGAATACTTTGCTATGTTTGGAGCAGTTACCGATGTGCTCATTATGAAGGACCCGGTCACTCAGGTAAGGTGGTGTAGGTTTGATTACCGTTTTTATTGGCATTGAGAACAATTATTATTATTTTGTTTCGAGTAAATAATATATATAGTATGTGCTAATTGATGTGCAATATATATTTTGCATTTACATTCGAATTCAAGCTTTTCTATACATATAATAAAATTGTAACTAAGCCGAATCTGTACATTAAATATTTTTTGGAAAATCTTATTGGAATAGTCATTATTATCGATACAGAGGCCGAATCTATAGTTTTTAGAATTTTTGTCTGTCTGCTTGTCTGTCTGTTACCGCATCACAGAAAAATCACTGGAGGGATTTAGATGAAATTTGGTATGGTGATAGCTGGTTATCCGGGTCAACATAAAAGATACTTTTTACCGCGGGAAAATGTCTCATTTCTAAGAAAAAATACAAAAACTGCAATGTAAGAGTATACTAATATGTAAAACCTAAGAATTTGGTTTTTGGTCATCTGAACGCGAGCTGAGCCGCGGGAAATGCTAGTTATAGTATAAAAATTGATTTTTCTTTTCTCTTTCGTTAGTTAATTGTTTACATTAGTGAAGACTTTGTTTTTCTAATATGGAGGCATTATTATCTAAGGCTCAAGATATCCGTAACTAAAACTATTTGATGTTGGAAGTATCTATAACCTATCCAGCCCTTTTTTAACATCCCATTGCTAGGTACGAGCCTGCCTTTATAAAGAGGCGGATCACACCATATTTCACCATGTTGGCCAAGTGCGAGCTGTCTGAAAATGTATTTTCAAAACTTGCTAGCTCCTCTCGGACATGCACGTTCACGATGTTTTCCTTCACCGTTAGACACGTGGTAATCATGTGGAACAGATTCGCACATGAATATATCAAAGGAGATAGACACAGGATTTGAACCTGCTTCATTCGGTTTCCCAAGTGAGCACTTTACCACTGAGCTACCACTGCCTCTAATATGTATAATGTATATTATATATAAGAGTTTAAATAAAACTAAACTTAAAACGAATCATCACACATCGACGGTTCCCCCACGAGGCAGATAACATTAAATTTATGATGTTTTAGCATACTCAATTTGTTACATTAAAAGGGTGATAAATATTTACTAATATAAAATATTAGACAAATCAATCCCATGGGAACTGTACATTTTTCCGGGATAAAAAGTTTCGTATGTGTTATTCCAGACTATAATCTCTGTGCCAAATTTCATCCAGATCCGTTCAGCTGTTCTGACGTGAAAGAGAAACAAACATCCATACATACTCACAAACTTTCACATTTGTACTATTAGTAGGATTAATTTTATCGACTGCAAAAATAAAATTGTATTCCATAGTATTTGTATGAAAATCATTATGCGTTTTTCGTTTTTTATGCGTTAAATAAATTATAATACTGTCTTAGATTTACGCGAATATTTGACATCTATACTAATATTATAAATCTGAAAGTGTGTTTATTTGTTTGTCCTTCTTTCACGTCGAAACATTTTTGGAGTGGACTGCAGGTTCAAATCCCGAGTCCTCATCACACCTCTGATATTCTCATGTGCGAATAATTTCCAACATGATCACCACTTGTCTTACGGTGAAGGAAAAGATTGTGAGAAAACCTGCATGTCCGAGAGAACCTAGCAAGTTGTCGAAAGACATGTGTAGTCTGCCCGCTCTTAGCCGTCGTAGTGGACTATGCTCTGATACACCTTATAGTAAAAAAAGGTCTGGATTCACTAGTTAGACGTTCAAATAGGACTCAATACAGCTACATATATCTCCAATAGGCTGTGACATACGGACAGATGGACATACAAAATTATAGGTTCGTTTCTTGTCTTGACCTACAGAACCCTAAAAAAAACCGCAACTTACAAGTTTTTACTAGTAACCATTGAAGACTTCCACTATTCACCTTCTGGCTCCATCATCAGACCAAGTAGATGGAGTCATCGTATTGTCATTCATTATTTATATATTAGGCAGTGGTAGCCCAGTGGTGACGTGACGCGCTCGCTTGGCTAACCGAGTGAAGCTGGTTCAAATCCCGGGTCTCGCACCTCTGATATTTTCATTTGCGAATCATTTTGTAATGAAACCTGCATGTCTGAGATAACCTAATAAGTTATCGAAAGACATGTGAAGTCCGCCCGCAATTGGCCAGCGTGGTGGACTGTGGCTTGATCTGGGATCGTATTGAAGGGAGGCCCACGCCCAGCAGTGGGACGTTAAAAAGAGCTGAATACAATACATACACTGATATATTTGCTAAAATTGTTTTTTTAAGATGTTATTTCATACTTAGTTACAATAAAATAATGATAATTGTTCTCAATAATTATTTTTAATCATTAAAATAGTAATTTTAATTTGTTAATTGTAATTGTTATTATATAAAAAAGAGCTATTTTTTTTTTGAATAAAGTCTATTGTATACTGCTTATTAAATTAAAAAAAAATATAAGACTTAAGACATATTTTATGTAAATTGGTTGCAAAAAAAGGTTGTATAATGTTAAGTTATAGATAATAAATGTTATTATAAGCTTTTATATTATATTTTTCAATTCATATTTGTTAATATTTTTTTATTTATTAATAATTAATGGCCCTGTTTTTGCAATCAATTTTACAGCCTTAATGAAATTCTGGTAATTAACAATGAAAAAGGTTATTTCACAATTTTATTAAATTATTACATATTATTTCTTTCACATTTATAAAATGACGTTTATATTAATAGCAGTAGGACTCGCAAAAACCAAAGACAATAATTTCAATTTTTTTTTCAATACATATAACTTCTACAGCTAGAATAACGAAGCGGAGTAAAGATGGTCAGTGTTTCAGCCTTACGGCGGTTAGGTTAGATATAGGACGGATTGGTTTTTATGTACCATAAACAAAATTGTTTTTTTTTTTCTCTATATTTTAATATTTGTTTTTAGCTAATTTAGGACCAACATTCTTTTGATTTTAAACTTATGTCATTCTTTTATTTGAATAAGTTTGATATAGTGCTTTTTTAATATTTTTTCTTTAAATGTTTTAGAAAACAATGTCTTTTTTATATGTACTTAATAGAATTAAAAAACCTTAATTAAAATTAAATCAAAATTTTGTTTATGGGACAGTAGACGAGTAAATAGTTGGGCTATGGTTGAAATGAAGTATTTAGGTACACTAAGAATATTTACTGTGAAACGCATGCTAGTCTCACTAACATTCTAGAAGTTAGGCATAGACTAAACTTTCCGATTCTTGTCTATCTCTTTACGGTTTGAAATCTATGGTAGATTCCCGTTTTGTAGGTTGGTCGGTTGGTGTTGCCATGTAAATTATAAATGGTAGCATTTAGTTTTGAATTGGAAAAGTTGAAACAAATCATAAACAGTTATCATTATATATAATTATTATTTTTTATTGAGAAAATATATTTTCATTTAGTTTTTTTTTTTGTTTTTTTTTTATTTTAGCTTTTCAGTGCAAGTAATTTTTGTTAGTAAGTTATAAGTTGTTCATAAAACTGCATGCAGCAACACTGACTCCAATATATATCTATAATAATAAAAAAGTACATTTCACTCATTAGAAATATAGCTACAATTGCCGGTTGTTTAATTTAAACATGATTTAGTAAAAAAAAGTAATTTAGTATAGCAACATTGGGGTTGATTTCAATATACTTCTGAAATAGTAACAGGGTGATTGCTCGGTAGGATTATTAGACAATTGTGCTAGTATAGATCTTGAATATATTTTATATTACATAAATTTTGGGTTGACATACGAAAAAAATACCATAATGTATGGTAGAATTTGATTGTGGTTTAACAAGATATGTAAATCCTTGATAGTGTTGAAAATAACATATTTCATATGTACTCGCCCACTAGTGGATATAGAAACTAAACGAAGCATGAACGTAATGTTTATTTCCTGTAAAATTACCCTGGATTTTGATGAAATTTTAATAAGTAATGTAGGTTTTGTAAGTAATTGTAAAGATATTAGTACCTTTTAACAGTACTTTTTCGATTTATCCCACAATGTTTATGTCATACAAAAGTCTTTATAAAAAAATCATTCCGATAATATATCGATCAACCATTTCTAATAACATCAAATTTTTGCATGACATATCCATCTTTAAAACGTGTAACTTTAAAATACTGAGTTTCCGCCGCGCGTAGCGCTCGCGCGGCTTTGGCTTCATCACGTTTCAGGAAGCCTCATCCGTGGACAAAGTCCTCGCCGTGCCTGTCCACACTCTGGACGGGAAACGCATCGACCCCAAACACGCTACACCCAAATCTGCCCCAAAACCTGCTAAGACCAAAAAGATTTTCGTCGGTGGCGTCGGACAGGACACCTCAGCAGAAGAAGTGCGCGCCTATTTCTCCCAATTCGGCCTTGTAGAAGATGCTGTGATGTTAATGGACCAGCAAACGAAACGTCATCGCGGTTTCGGCTTCGTCACCTTCCATTCCGAGGAAGCAGTCGAACGCGTTTGTGACATACATTTTCATACAATCAAGAATAAAAAAGTTGAATGTAAACGCGCTCAGCCAAAAGAAGCGGTGGCCGCAGCACCTCTAGCTCTAGGGAAGCGCTTGGTTCTCCGCCCTGGAAGGGGTTTGGTTTACGCGACCGGTGGGGTAGGGGCTGTCCCAACGGTTGGCACACACTATAGGTATGCCCCATACGCACTACCGGCCGCCACGGCTACCACAGCCCTGGTAGCCCCGCCAGCCCCCCAACCTGCTCCGTTGCCCCAATTCGGAACAGCCTATTCCCTCGCCGGGGTAGACATGTCCTCCTTCCAAGGCGTCGACTGGAGTGCCATGTACGGAGTGCCCATGTACATATAAGCGAACCAGGAACAACCCCACCCCAGGTTAGGCTGATTTGATTTTCGTTTTCCAAACAGTTCCTACTTTAATTTCGGACTTAGCGACGTCTTGCCGCGTATCTATCAGTATTTTGAATTATTTAAGGTAACGGCTCATCGTATTAGGTTAAGTGAATTCAAGCAATATAAGGCCCGGTGCGGGACCCGAAGCAAAGATACGCATTTTTTAAAAAAAAGTTATTTTAAGGCGAAGATCTCAGATAATTTAGTTCGAACTTTGAAAGAGTAATTTGTTTTTTTTTTCTCTTTCTAATTGTCTTGGATTGTTTTTTGTAATAGCATAGTGGCATAGGTAGTGCACGGTCGTTGGTAATACGATGATTAATATTTATATTTGAGGAGTGTACACTGAATCTCATTGCAGTTTTGTATTTTTTATTATACTTAAACTTGATTAATGCGTACTCGGGCCGTGTGATGTGCGTCCTTTACGTAAACTTGTATCAGTATTAAATTTTCGTGCCATTAATGAAAATTGTGCCAAAACGCGTTCGTTTTAATGTTTTCAATTGAAAAAAAAAACTAATTCTATCAGCGGGTTCTGAAAAAGACATTTTCTTTTCACTTTTATTGATCGTATAGTAATATTTGTTTTCAAATGTCGCACACATGTCGTTTTGTAACGCAAACGTCACGTAGACGTTCCGCGCACGTCACGCGGCGCCGAAAGCAGCTCACTCATACATATCTAACGTATAAAGCAATCATTACATGGCATTGTATGACTTAGTATTTAAAACCCGTGGCAGTCACTTTTGATATTTGCTTCGTATGAATAATTTAAACAAGATCTCTCGCAACACTTTATTTAACGTGTTACTGTACAGCCAATATGGCGTCTGTTTATTGCAGTTGAATAACTTTGCAGACTAATTAAGTTGACAGATTCAAAATATAAGCTCTAATGTCACAGACTCAATAAAATATTAATTAAATATTATAAACTTGCAATACATCAGTCGATTAAATAATAACATACATTTTTAAGGCATTAATCACCACAAAGCATGAATGAGAGGCTAAAATTTTAAAGCAAATATCAAAAATACTGCGGAGAGCCACCGCGTATCTGTCAAGATCAAATATTTCATCTAATACTTTGAAGTATATAATGATTTGACTTGATAGATTTTGATAGACCAAACAATACCGAGTTTTACGTTTTATCGATTTTTCCTTATTAAATAATATCGATTTTGAATAATAGCATACCGATTGTCAAAAGTATAGAAAAATAGTATCGAATTAAAAAATCACAAGTACTATAATACCAATTAAACGAATCGATGTAACGTAAAACGTGTATGTATTTTTGGTTATGTGGCGCCATATTGGGTGTATATTAGTTAATATATTAGTTTAGCAGTTATAAGGGAATGCGAACTAACACCCCGAGTGTACCGTGACAATAAGCTAAGTATTAAGCCGCTGTAGAAGCCCCTTGTCTATGCCTGGAAATGTAAAACGTATAGTCTACGGTTATATTGTCCCACGATGGGCGCCATTTTATTGTCTATGGTTGAATTGCCCACGGTTGGGTTTATTATGTATGGTTGAACAATGGCACGTTGGGTGCCATTTTTAAAATCAAGGTTTTCTGATTTTTAGGTAGTTTTTTTTGTATAAGAATACAGGAAGAGTGACCTAGATTTGCAAATGACCTTGATATGCTTTTATCCTAATGCCGTACTTTGCCTCGAAGAAATGTTTTTTCTCTTTTAGAAATGTCTGACAGAGCTATTTTTACGCTCTTCTTTTAATCCCAGTGACATATGATTGTATCGAAATTGATGAATAGTGGAAAATAATGAAACCATTTGAGTTGGAGAAAAATTATAAAAATCGGTCAAGTGCGAGTCGAATTCGCACACGAAGGGTTCGGTACTATAACCAATTTTTTTTTTAATTTGTATGGGAGCCACTTTGAAATTAGATATCTTGTCATTCTCTTTTTTTATTATTTATAACGGCAATAGAAATATACACTCCGTGATAATCTCAATTCTCTACCTATTACCGTTAATGAGTTACAGCCCTCTAACAGATGGACAGCGGAGATTTAGTAATAGGGTTCCGTTGGCACCCTTCGTGTGCAAATCTAAATTGCCTTTATTTACTCTTAACACTTATATTTTTCTAAAAAAAAACAAAATGGAATCTCAAATTTACGAAATGGTACTTAGTAGGTTAGGTCGAAAAGCAATATACTCGAATCTTTATACTCTGTGATTAGAAAAGTATTATAATTATTATTATTATATTTAAAAAAAAGACGATTGATGGTTGTGTTCGTGCAATTTGTAGTTTTTAAGTCTATCTCGGACTTGGTCCTTTTAACCACTTAAAGATCTGAGTACTTAATTGAACTGTCATTTCTGTAGCTTTTAAAAGTTGTCAAAGCAATAATTGTCAGGAAACGTTAAAGTAGATTTAGAAATGATTTTTTCTATGTACTTAGGTATCTTGCCATTATGCCAAGCAAAGACAAGGGGCGAGTAGCATGCATGCGGTAGTAGTGTCGACCATATTCCCCCCGCCGGTCGACAACACTGTAATTTTGGCTTGTAGTATCATATTTTTTTTTAATATTTAAACGATTTTAAATTTTTTTCAGTCATGTCAACAATTTGCCTGTTTTTTTGCTCTATAAGCCAAAGTTACTGCGCTATTTCACATGTATACACATCCCTTATTATAGCAGTATTCTTTATATTATAAGTAGGTTAGAACCTTCTGAGATTTGCGTTCGCCGCGTTTTCCAAAATAGAAATGGTGACTGATTTGCTTTTAATGATTGACGTTATTTTGAATTTTGGATGAATGAAAATGCGGCGATCGCGTCGCCCTTATAACACCTTTTGTATAGTATTTTTCCTGAATTTCTCAGTATTAGATGGTTGATAATATTGTGATGTCATAACCCTGGCCGTTTGGTGTCTTGCCAAAGCAGGGCCCATAGATATGTACTTAATTTTTTTTATTATCATATGTATATCTGAAGTTCCAACACTTGTGATGGTACTTCACTAACAATATTTATATTATTTTTTTCTTTAAACACTTGTATTAGTTTGGTATGGGCCGGTTCGGGCCAGAGCGCCATTAGCCGGCTTTTAGATGTAGTTTTTGTATTTAGTAGTAGTTATTTTGCCCGTATCTGTATCTATTGAAGCACCTAGATACCCGATATGTCATTACATGATATTAGAACAAAGTGTGTTTTATTTCATCTGTGGGATAGTTTGTTTGGGGTTTTTCTCACGGAAACCTTTCAGCTTATGCACGTACCTTATTTATTTTTTAATGTAGAGTGTACCCAATCTGGGCGCCAAATTTTATGGAGTGGGGTATCCGGACGTACGGTAAGTCGGCTTGAAACAAAGGCATGTCGAAGTAGCATTATGTGACTAACAAATCTCAATTTCAAATCTTGGCATGGTTTATTCATACGTAAACATTATCTTCCAAATTCACTGTCAATTTGAACAGGCGTTTGCCACACGTTGGTTGTGAAACGTGCTATTACGATATTTCTCTTAAACTCAATTAGTATGTTGGTTTTGAGAGAAGTATCTGGACCTAGACACGTAGTGTAGACCTTTTAGTCGCTTTGCTTAAGGCCTACGGTCTTCCCGGTTTGAATCTGATTTGCCAAAAATAGGCCAAAATTGCATTTTTTGCTCAAGTTAATTCTCAATTATTTAATTGGTCGCAGCCTTAACTAAATTTATCTGAAGCTAATCGTCGGGAAGTTGTACAAATATTTTTGTGGCCATCTTGAGTGCGAGACAAAATGGCCGATGGCTGCGACGGAACACTGGCAAGGGTCAAAAAGTACGCATTACGCCAGAGTAGTTTAAGGATAAGACAATAATAAGGGAGACGTTGCCAACTAAGACGCTAATTCTAATTTATTGCCATAGTCAAAAATACATTCCTCTCTAGTCATTTTAATAAGTTAAGATTTGATGTTGTTTTGGAGGAAAATTCTACTACAAGTCTAAACTTGCTCAACTTATTCTTGCCTAGTTGTAGTCTGTTCTCTATCGACGAAAGCTTACGCAGTAGTGATGTGCCATACACCATACATGCCAGCACAGCAACGGTAACGATAGTGATGTTCATACATTGCTTCGCGATTCCAGGCTCACTGGACCAATGTAAACAGAAATATAAAATATATTCTTAATTACTATAAGGTTATAATATATACATGGATTATTATACAACTTTTGGATTCGTATAATATAAAGTATGTTATGAAAAAAAAATTACGTTGTGTGTTTTAAATGTACGGCAGATGCTAGAGTAGTGATGTAGTGTAGTGATTTTGAAAATTTACATATATAATATTTAAACATAAGTAACTAACCGAAAGCAATAACGTTTATTATATTAAAACAGCACGCGCGCGCTGCGGCTATCGACACTGTGTAAAGTACGTCACTAAATAAAGGAGAGCACATATTTTGTAAGCGATCAAACATGGCGGACACGGCAGCGCGCGCTTTTAGATTATTATTATACACACAGCATACAAAATTACAATATTTTTGTATCATAGGATCGGTGTATTCTGTAGCAAGTTGGTATTTGTATTTTAAAGTTAATAATCGTGATAATTATTCGAACACTTGTTGATAAGTGATGTGATTAATATGTTTAATCGTAGAGAAAATGCCGCTTGGGGCGTGCGGCTATGTTTCTTCAACATAGAGTTAACGCGCACTGTGGTAACGAGAAACCCCACACCCGATAACCCCTTTTGTAAGGGTTATACAAAATATTGGTACCCACAATGCGCTAAAACAAACATGGCGGCACATAAATAATGCTATTGTGTTTTACATTTAATACGACGCGATTAAAAAGTTTTACGATATTTGCTACAGTAAAATAGTTCACTTTGGATATATAATAAGTATTGATTCATTTTGAGTCAAGAGTTTAAAACGT